GTTTTTTCCAACAGTCTTCTACATTCTAGCCATAAGGGGACCCCTATAGAAGGTACTAATAAAAACACAAGAAGAGCAGCTGTATTCTCATTATCAACATAATTCATGCTTGTAGAAAATTTGGAAATATATAGAACATAATAAAGAAACATGAAGGAAGTATGTATTTTTAAAGTGGAATTGACATAGTACCTATTTCTTTTATTTTTGCTTAATCTCACATTTTTACCATTCTATGTCAAATAAAAGTTAAACAGTATTTTACAGGTTAAAATTATAATGCAACATCTTGAATTATGCAACAAGTGGATGTTCATTATAAAAAATAAACAGGTAAAACAAGAAACTTTAAACATTATATGTAATTCATAAAAAACAGTACTGCAATGAACATCATAGAAAGATAGGTAGAAAGTGACAGAGGAATTTGCACCTAGGATCTCAGATTCTAGAAATTCTGTTCTTAACTACTGCACTAGACTTCCTCTGGCTCGTTTCAGATGACATGGGGAGAAATGCCTGCTTTTGCAATATATTGCTGAGGTAAGACTTGTTTGGTGATTAGGTAGGGATATGGTTGAAGGAATAATCCATCATGATTATCAGTTTTTTGAAGGGTTTGTGAATGCGATTGGTCTGTGTATTCAGTAAATGAGATTCTTTTAAAGCATATATTTAAGCCTTTTTTTGGTATAAAAACAAAATCGTAGATAATTTTAGTTCTTCGGGATTATCTCTGTAATATGAATGCAAAGAAGATAAAACTAAATGATTTTAAGGCCTTTAACTTTCCTGCCCTTCCATATATGCCTTTTGAAAGAATAAGTCTTATTTTTATTTTCTTATTTGAATGATAGTAACTTATGGTTAGTTAACACACTGAAACTTATAAAAGTAAAATATACATTTCTTTGCCGTTAATTTTGCTCAAGAAATTCAGCGTAATTTTAATATTTCTCAAAAAGTTATAAAATAGATACTAAGCATGTAACTTATCTCATACCAAAATGAATTCCATTTAGAGAAAATGCTTAAATTAAAAAATGAGACTCTAATTTCTAGGACATGGCATTGAAGAATTTTTTAAATAATCTGAGCAAGAACTATGCAACATATAAAACCATAGAAGAAAAGGTTGATAAATTTGAATATATAAAATTTAAAATGTTACCACTACACACCTGTTAGAATGATCAAAATCTGAATTCTGGCAAGGATGTGGAGCAACAAGATCATTGCTGATGGGAATGCAAAATGAATGGTACGGCCACTTTGGAAGACAGATTGGCAGACTCTTACAAAACTAAACATACCCTTACCATGTGATCAGCAGTCATGCTCCTTAGTATTCACCTAAAATAGTTGAAAATTTATGTACACACAGAAACTTGCACATGGATGTTTTTAGTGGCTTTATTCATAATTGCCAAAATTTGGAAGCAACCAAGATGTCCTTCAGTAAGTGAATGAATAAATAAACTGTGGCATATCCAGACAATGGAATGTTATTCAGTGCTAAAATGAAAACTGCTAAATAAAGGCATGAAAATACATGGAACATTAAATGCATATTACAAGTCAAAGAATCCAATCTGAGAAGGCTACATACTTTATGATTCCAGCTATGTGATGTTCCAGAAAAGGCACAAACAACTATAGAGACAGTAAAAAGATCAGTGATTGCTAGGGGCTAGAGGGCAGGGAGGGATGAACAGGTAAGCACAGAAGATTTTTAGGGAAGTGTAACTATTTGGTATGAAACTACAATAGTAAATACACGTCATTATACATTTGTCAAAATTTGTAGAAAGTACAGAACCAAGGATGAACCCTAATGTAAATTAAGGGCTTCGAGTGATAATGATGTCTGTGTAGGTTCCTCAGTTACAATAAATGTACGTTGTGGCACGCGACTCTGATGGCAGGCGAGGTTATACATGTATGTGTACATGGGTATATGGGAACTCTTGTAAATTATGCTCAATTTTGCTGTGAACCTAAAACTCTAAAAAGTAATGTTATAACAATTTTTTTTTAACCTTGAAAGGCCTACCAAAACAAACCAGAAATCTTGGGGAAATGTTTATAAATGTATGACAAGCCTAATAACTGATTTCTAAATTTAAAACTTACAAATAAAGAGGAAAAAGACAGTAGTTAATAGAAAAGGGACATAAAGAACATGAGTGCACTATTTATAACAAAATAAAAATAAGTAAAATTTTTAAATATCAGAGTTGCCCCATTTAAACCTTTCAAATTGTTATATGTCAGAAGGTAGTGACATGGCATGAAGAAACGCTCATAAACAGTTGGTGGGTCTAAACATTTTGGGAGGGTACTTTGGTACTTATAAAAGTTTAACCTCACATTCCTTTTGATCTAACATTTCCTTGTTGAAAAAATGTATCCTACAAATATCTGCGAACTTGTATGCAAGGTTATGTGCACAAGGATTTCTCTAGATGTTTTAGCTGCAAGTAATAGAAACTAGCTTTAAATAGTGAGATCATTACTTCTCATAACCGGAAGTTCCAGACTTCAGTAGAAGCATGTATATACGAATAACTAATAGGTTAATCATCATTTAACGTGGCTCTGTTTAAGAAAAAAGTTTCTAAAAACTTCTGTTAGCTGATAAATTTTTAGCTTAATTTAACTTCTAAAAATTTTATATATGATTTTAATCGACTTTCCTTTTCATAATATATAGTTCTAACTTTTATCACATCTGACTGGACTCCTCTTAGTCTAAATTAATGAACTGTGACTCTACTAGTCACTTCTTATAAGTATTTAATAGAGGGAGTAAACAGTTAAAAGATGAAAAATTGGGCAGTTTCCTCCATTTCTAATAGTGGCTTTGTTTATTTTATCGCAGCTTCAGGAAACAGCAGTGAGTTTTAGTTCATTGTTCTAAATATATTTTGACCTTTCATAGCTGTACCTGTTGTGACTTGCCAACAGATTTTTCAAACTGAAGAATAAAAAAAGAACATAAGAACTTTGTTATGGAGGGCTGTTCTGTCTTCTCAAAAATCATTATCACCTGTGCTTTATTTTTGATTCATTTGTTTATGTGGAAATTGCTGTTTCACCTGTGTTGCCTGGTATTTTAGGTCATGGTTATAGTGTGGAGAGGGGAGAGGTCCACAGGGGGCATCTGACCTTATTCTACATCTATGCCATTGCTATATTTTTAAAGCTTGGGGGCTGTAAGTCATGCTTTTTTGGGTAACATTTTCAAAATATGTAGAGAATAATGATAAGAAAACAAAATTTTTCCTACAATTATAATATGATTATTTAACAACCGTTTACAACAAATATGTTTTAAAATTTAGTTGCATGAAATTGAGTGAAGTAATCTCAGTCACTGTTTTTCTTGTGTCTGTGGTTCTTCTTTCTTTTTCTTATTTTATGTGTTTGTGCCCCCTCCTCCCTTATTTTCTTGATTAGATTTTAGCAAGTTTACCTAAAACTGGAAGAAATGAATACTTTTCTAATAAATATAATTTACTGAAACTGACTGCAGGAAATAGAGCTGTCTGAACAGTCAACCTTCATAGAAGAAATAGAGAAGTGTCTTAGAATAAACCCTAGAAAATTTTTAACTGCAAAGAATTTCACATGGGAATTCTACTGAAATATTAAAGAATGTGTTATTCCAATGCTAAGTAGTTTAAATAAACTGTTACAGAGCATAGAAAAGACTTAAATCTTCTAGCTTGTCTTTGTGAGACAGCGTAACATTTGTGCTTGCAACATAAATCTGCAGACCAGTATTGCGTACGATTATTGATGCAGAATTCCTAAATAAAGAATCTTCTCTCTCTCATCCTCACAGCCAGCATCATACTTAATGGGCAAATACTAGAAGTAGTTCCTTAAAGTTAAGAGTAAGCCAAGAATTTCTGGTATCACCACTGTTTTATCAAAATGTGACATACCCCAAAATGATTGGTAAATTATATCACATAAAAGTTTTTTTTAATACTGCTTAGTCAAAATTGGGATGAAGAATCATAAGCCAGATGACCAAATATTTACATCCCATACCATGAAAGGACTAATATCACTAAAACATAAAGAGCCTTCTGTAAATCAGTGAGAAAAGTGATCAACACCGCAATAGAAAATTGAGCAAAAGAAAAGAACAGACTATTCATGGGAAGGAAATAAAATATAAACAAGTATTCAACTGCTCAATGTCATTTATAAGAGAGATACAAATTAAAACTATACTTGTTAAGACCTTGTTCTTACTTATCAACAATAGCACATGAGCCTCCCCTATTTATGTTGTTGCTGGGAATGTAAACTGGTACAGCCTCTATAGATGACAATTTTGGCAAAATTTATCAAATTACAGATGGACAACCCTTTGATTTGGCAGTTTCTCTTTTAGAGCCTACCCTTCAGATACAATTGAGAATATGCATAGTGTGCGAGATTAGTTATTGGAATCTTGGTTCTTAAAGCAAAAGATTGAAGATAACCTGAATATCCATCAATATGGGATCATAATATTCCATAATGTAATGTTATGCAGCTAATAGATGAATGGATGGATGGATGGATAAATAGATAACATAAGTAAAAGGGAAACATATCAACATCTCTGATAGAATAAGTAATATAAAAGCAGAGTTCAGAACTGTGTTACCATTTGTACATAAAAAGCAGGAGGCACAGAACACAATATATTTGCTTATATGGTTTGAAGAATATTTCTGGAAAGGTACACAAAGAACTGGCAACATTGGATGCCTTTGGAAGAGGGTAGCTTGAAGCCAGGACTTTTTTGTACCTTTTATCTATTGAAGCTTCCAAAATTAAACTTCCATTAAGCAGTTGTATATTTTGAATCCTTGGTATGTAAATTATCTGTGTATTATCTGTGACCATTACAACCAGATACAATCAGTTTTATTATTTATTTGGTTAGAACTTATGGAAATACTTTTACAGCTGTTTTAAAATTGAATCTTTTGTTTCAGGATCTCCAGCAGAACTATCTCCTACTACTCTTTCCCCTGTTAATCATAGTTTGGGTAAGTTGCAAATACTTTTCCCCTACTGTTTTTATACCTTTTTAATTAAATGTCCTTTCTGGTAATTATTTTCCATATATATGAGAAAGAGATCCCAGCGAATAATCAAATGATTGTTCAACTTAGTGCTTTCTAAAAATGATGCTGATAATGTGCCTCAGTATTACTAAAACTCTTTTCTCCTGGCACATATAAGAAGTTAATAATCTTTTTATTCATGGAAATCATATTCATGAAAAATGTTCTTACATGGCTAGATTTTTATGTATATATTTAGTTTCTGATGTATTTTATAATAGCAATTATTCATATGAGATGTGTGTATAAATATATATAGACATATATCACTCACATGTACATGTAGTATGGGAGATTATATATATGTGACAGCTAATACATATGTATATATGTGTGTATACGGTCTGTAGTTTATTCTTGGTCTTCATTTTACCTCACTATTTCACAATTTCTTTTCAGTTTCTACACATTGGAATTTGTTCTACAAAATTGTCATTTTTTTTCCCATGATATTATGATGCATTTTAATCAAAATTACAGCACTTAAATACTTGTGATCCTCATTTTCCCATGAAATATGTAGATTCTTTTGATTTATATTCTGTTTCCACTTGCATACTATATGTTTTCTGTTTTTTTTGTATGTATGTTTTATTACTTTCTGTTTCTTGTGTATATTTGGGTTTTCTATTTTTGTAACTAGGGTAACTCAGTGAGAATCTCATGTTAAAATAGACAAATGTCAAAAATATGTCGTATTTTGTATCCTATCATGACATCTTTTTTTTCCCTGTGGCTTTTGACTCATTAATCTTTGCTTCAGCTTTGTTCTACTCTGTCCTACCCAAAATTAACTTTATAATGCAAATTGACTGTGGCACAAGCAGGGTAAAACTACTGTTAGAATAAATGATCCACCATAAAGTCTAAGAAAGCTGTTTGAAGATTAGAATGACTTAATGAGATAGGGGAAATTTGAGAAATTGAAAATCTGGAGTGCTCTTTGGAATCTGGAGTTCGTGATGTAGATGTTAAGTCTGTTTCCTGGGCTGTTGCCAGTGTAGGCTGGCATAGAACATGTAAAGGTGATGATATTCAGTCTATTCTTGGCTTGAGGTGGCTTGAATTATTCACACACATTTCTTTTATGTGTTTGTTTTTTCTGCCCCAGATTTGCAGCCTGTTACTTACTCAGAACCTGCATTTTGGTGTTCAATAGCGTATTACGAATTAAACCAGAGGGTTGGAGAGACCTTCCATGCATCACAGCCCTCACTCACCGTAGACGGCTTCACAGATCCATCAAATTCAGAGAGGTTCTGCCTAGGTTTACTCTCTAACGTCAACAGAAATGCTACAGTAGAAATGACAAGAAGACATATAGGTATGTTTGTTTTCCTTATGTGAAAAACCAATGCCATATACTCATAATGTGAGCATCACGTGGTTTACCACATCAAGAGATTGTGTGCAAAGAAGCCTGCCTTCTCTCTCCCACCTTAAGGGCAGTCATGTTGAAGTACACAGCTTCACAGCTTTTAGTAGATCCTGGTGATCCTTCTATCTGCAAACTTTTATCTTGAGCTTCTGTTAATTTGGCACCCTCGATAGTGGGAAGTCCTTCAATAAATACGTGTTAAAATAACTTTACTCTGCTGAGCCTCTACCAGTCATAAAATTGTCATGTTCAGATTTTAGGGATGTAATTTTAACAAATCATGAATTTTTTTTCTGTTTGTTTACATCTCCTAGTTTTTTCCCCCTTTCAGTGAATTCGTGTGTCAGATCTGCACACTGTTAATCTGATGCAGGATATCTAAAACAAGCACGACCATTGAATTTGTTCAAAAATAATTCATAGAATCTCAAAATGTGGTAATCCCAGGCACCCTTTCAGCAAGTTGGTGAGGTAAAAACAATTTTCACAGTGGTACTAAGATGCTGTTTGCCATTTTCACTCTTGTTCTCTCTTGACTGTACAGTGAAGTATTCCAGAGGCTTACAAGGCTTACGATTTTGCAAGGAATTAAACGTAGACTCTGATGAGAATTCTACTGTCTTCTCTTAAGCCAGACATTAAGGATATTTGCAAAAATATAAAACATTGCTACTCTTCTCACTAATTTTTTCTTTAGTTTGCAAAATAGTTATTTTTCACAAACTTGTTTATGTTAATATGTAGTGGGTTTATTATTTTGATTTTCAAATGAATTAATTTTTTTGAATCTCAGTTTTCACACATAATATGGTAAGTTTGCATAGATGTAATCCACATAAACAACAACTCTTTGGGTCGTCAGTTTTTTGACAATGAGGTAAAAAATAGCTTGAGCGCCACAAAAATAACTGAACACAGTTCTCATCACCTTAAAGTAACTTCTTTTAATAATAATTTGCTTCTGTTCATTTAATTAACCATCACCTCCTATGAGAAATAATGCTGATCACTAAAGAGTCAATGTGATATTGCAAAGTGCTAGTGACTTCAGAGGTCTGTTAGTTGGCTCCATGTGGAATTTCTCAAATCTTGCTTGATGTATAAATTTTATATAATCTTCCTAAGGTACTCAGGTATCTTATAGGTGAGGAAGGCCTCTGAATATCTGCCCTCTTTTAACTAAAACAGTTCTGATTTTTCCATGTTCTAATCAGGGCTCTGCATAAAAAGTTAACAAAAGGTTTACCCTACCTTATTTACTTCTGTACAAAATTTTAGAGTGCTGTAATTATTGGATCATCTTTTTTTACTTTTGATTTCTAGTTTATTGGGTGCTTTTGATCAGAAACTATAGCCTGAAAAATCTCTACTTTTTGGACTTAATGTTTTCCTAATGGTCAAGTGAACAACTTTATTTTTTATATAAGTATTCTGTAGTCATTAAGAGAACAGGGCACCAGGTTCCATATTTATGTAGTAAATCTGGCTTGTTGGTTTTTATTAATTTTCTTTTGCTGCAATACATATTACCACACATTTACCAGCCTAAAACCACACAAATTTACTGTGTTACAGTTTTTGTGGGTTAGGAGTCTCCCCAGGGTCTCACAAAGGGAAATCAAAGGGTCAGCTGGGCTGTGTTCTCATCTGAAGCTTGAGGTCCTTCTCCAAAGCTCACAGGTGATTATTGCAGAGTTCACTTCCTTGAAGTTGTGGCGCTGAGATCCTCATTTCCTGCAGACCGTAAGCTAGAGGCTGCTATCAGCAACTAGAGGCCACCTGCGTGGCCCCCTCCATCTTCACAGTCAGCAGTGAAGACTCTGTTGTGTTGAATTCCTGTTGCTCACACTTTGAATCACTTTCACCAGGGCCAGCCCAGTCCCTTTTAAGGGGCTGTCACCTGATTAAGTCAGGCCCACCAAAGGTAGTCTTAGTTTCTTATGGTCAGTTGATTTGAGAACTTAATTACATCTGAAAAATCCCTTTAAGCAGTATGTAGATTAGTGTTTGATTGAATAATTGAGAAGGTAAATAAACCGGGGTGAGACTCTTAAGTGCTATCTTAGAATTCTGCTTTTCACAATTTTTTCTTTAATCCTTGTATTGCTAATATTTTATGTATATTTGATCCGCTCATACTTTATGTATATATTTGATCTGTCAAATTCTGAAAGGTATATTAAAATCTCCCAATATAATTTTTTCTTATCTAATTCTGCTTATATAAATAGGGACCTAGTTGCCCCCATAATATATATAGTTATAAAAGGGGCAGATGACTCTAACCTCTTGATAATTTTTATTACCTTTTTTCTTAACCATAGTGGGCTCTTTAAAGAAATACTGTTTATTATAATGAAGGCATATTAATCCAGACATTAGTTAATTCTTTCAAATGAATTCTTTTATTTATTTAGAAATAACTGTAATTTGTATGAAATTCTTTTATTTTGCTATCCATTCACTTTTCTTCGTTGCTTAAGTATTTTTGATAAGCACGTATTATCTTTACAAATCAATAAAATCATTTTTAAAAAATACTTGGAAAAATGTACAGTGGTATGTTTCAAAGTTAGATTTCAAAAAAGCATAGCTATGGAAAAAGTCATCAAAATACTTTATGTCATTTTACTGTCCTCTGAGAAGACTCTTTGAAAGTCATGCTGAAATAGTAAATGTTGTAAAACTAATTCCATATATATTTTGTTTTAGGAAGAGGAGTGCGCTTATATTACATAGGTGGAGAAGTTTTTGCTGAGTGCCTAAGTGATAGTGCAATCTTTGTGCAGAGCCCCAATTGTAATCAGAGATACGGCTGGCACCCTGCAACAGTGTGTAAAATTCCACCAGGTATGGATACAACAATGTAAATAAACCTATTGTATCAACTTGCTGAGTTTTTCTTTGCTATTACTTTTAGGAATCAGGAGATGATTTACATGCTCATATTCTAAAATCTGTAGCCCTTTTAAAATGATTTTCTAATAGTAATATTCTTTTTACATAATTTTTAAATCTTTTTCTCAATCGTAGGCTGTAACCTGAAGATCTTCAACAACCAGGAATTTGCTGCTCTTCTGGCTCAGTCCGTTAATCAGGGTTTTGAAGCCGTGTATCAGCTAACTAGAATGTGCACCATAAGAATGAGTTTTGTGAAAGGGTGGGGAGCAGAATACCGGTATGAAATACATATTCGGTTCTTAAATTTCCACAACGTAATTCTTTTTTCTTTCATTCTTTGTATCTTCTGAAATTCATGTGTATTTATTTTCCTTGAGGTTTATAGAGTCAGCAGATCTTTATGTAAAATAACAAAAGAAAGTTGGAGGCCTCTGGATTCAAAACTATTGCAAATTCCTGTGCTGGCATTATGGAACAAAGAATTAAAACATGTATGGACGGGTACTGTAAAAGAATGCAGAGTGTTAAATACCATAAATGGCACATTGGAAGGGTTATGTCAGTTCTTGGAAGGAGAGATGTTTCGCTGGGGCTGGGGGAGGTAGTGATGACACGGTCTGGGTTCTGAAAGATGCCTAGGATTTCAGTAGTCACAGGTTTGTGGGGTGGAAAGTGATGATCTTGGCAGTAGAGTACAGTTCAGTTTGACTGGAGTATAGAAAGTAAAGAAGGATAAGGCTGGACAAATAAGTTGAGACAACTTCAGTATAAGGTTAAAAGGTGGAACTTCATTCAGTAATAGAAGGGAGTACTTGTTAGGTGCCAGGCACTGTGCTGTGTTTTAGGTGCAGTATCTCACGCCTTTCAACATGGCTAAGAATTACTGTTGCTGTTTTTATCCTTTCTTTATAAGGTTGCAATCTTTCTAAGGTAAAAAATGGTCCAGACTAATATTTATTTGGAAATAGGCTTAGAAAAGATTTGATAGTTTGCCCAAGGACACATTCTAAGTGATAGAGACAGGACTTGAGGAAAGCTCTGCTTGACTCTTAACCTCCTCTCTAAGGATAGTAAGTAGCAGTTATGTAATTGAGTTTTACCAAAGCTAATCTGTCATCAAGGGGTAAGATAGATTACGCTATTGATAAATTAAACAGTTGATTGGATTCCACAGCAAAGATAGGGAATACTTCATCAACATATTAAAAAATGAAAGTATAAGTAAAATACTTAGTCTTTCTTCAGTTCCCATTGCTCACTGTCTGAATGTCTGCTTAAGAAGATACTCGTATAGAATAGTGATAGTACTCCTGTTTCATTCAGCAGGTTGGGCCCTTCTTCAGAATTTATTTCATTTCATTTGAACTTGATTCCCTGTCTTAAGTTTTGTGAGGTGTATGACTTTTGTGATGGTGAGATTTGAGATCTACTGGTTTGAATACTTTTATAAATATATGTGTTATATATGTATATCCTAGAATGAAGACTTGTCACTGTTTTGTCCAAGTTATGTTAGTAGAAGAATTCACTTTTTGACTTTGCTGTAGCTGTCTTTTGTTTTAATCATTTCCCCTTTGAGATGTGATAACTTTAAAAAACGCTGAGTTTTTTTTTCCCTTTGATAAAAAAATTATCAAATTGTTAATAAAATTAGATTTTATTGATATTAAATTAGATTGATAGTTGATATTAAAATTAGATTCAGATAGTACCATCTGATACCAGTTTGTTAGGTCAGACTTTTTTTTCTCTTCAAAAGATCATAATGTTGAAGAACATGGTAGAAATTCAGTGGAATTAGATATGAATTGCATAGGTCAGGGAGAATTCCATGTATATCTGTGGGTCTCCTGTTAAGACCAGTTTTGATTGGTAGAGAGAGATACTGCCCTTCATTCACTGTGGACTCTGCTGTTCTTTAACCCAGAGCTAATTTAAAATCTATATGAGAAGCAGTAATATACAGTATGTTTTCATGGATAATGGAGTCAGGTACATCTACTTTGGATAATAAAGTAGTTTCCTTTAACATTTACAGATCAAAATAAATCAAATACCCATATATCTGTGAACTGTGGAACCTTTTATCCTTAATGACACTGGTGCGGAGGAGATAGATCTAATGGTTGGATTTCTAAAACTATCTTTTAGTTTCTTTACTGCCAGCTTGATTGCTTAGCGTAAAAATCAGGACATGTAGTAAGCAGGAAATATAGATGTGTAAAGAATTCATAGTTAATTGAGAAATATGTCTCAGTTAAGTGAATTAGTACTGAAACGAACAAACAGTTGGGGGACACATAATGTGTGTCTCAGACCCTGAGACGAGGGTTTGCATGCAAGAAGTTTATTCAGGAAATGGAGGGAACACTGGTCAGGAAGGAGGAAGTAGGGAAGAGAGGTAGGGAGGAAAGGCAGCCAGTACCATTCTTAACCCATCTACTCTAATGGGTGGGTCACTAGAGCTGTTCCCTTAGGAAAACTTTGGAAAACAGTAAAGAACACACAGAATTATCCCACCCAGAGGGAAGGGAAACTGGACCTTTAAATGCCAATTCCTGTGTCATTGCTTGAGGTCTGTTCCTGGGGTTGTTAATTTCCTGGCACTTCTGATCTGCTATATATGTGGACGGAGCAGAGAAGTTCTCAGGCACAGAAATGCAGATGCCTACAACTGGAAATTGGCTAGACTAGAACACTGATAATCTGAAGGGTATAGTGGGGCACTGACACCATCTGCTACAGAAAACCACATCCTTTGAAATACAGTTTTAAATTATATTGAGCATGTGTCACATGGAGGTGAAGAGTTGATAATGGCCTTTTCTCATGTTTGAAGGGCTGTCATGTCGAAGAAGCAAGCAGACTTACTGACTTATTGTATATAATAAATAAGAACTAAAATCAGTATGTGGAAGTGACAGGATGTCATTGAACAATTTGCGATTCCCAGAGGGTAGCTCATTTTGTTTGAAGTACTAAAGGTGTTTCTTAGTAAAAGCCTGCATGATTTTGCTAAAAGGGATGTTGGTTGTTGGCTTTGTCAGGGAAAGTTGAACCCCAACTCTTAACATTCTGTGATAAGCTTGGGTCAGAATTCTCTTTTGTTTTGCTATACTTTAAATTTGAATCCTATTCCATTTGGACTTCATTTGCTATTTGAGTATCTTCTATTCTGTGGATGATTAATAAGTAGGGTGACTTTATATATTCTGGTTTGCTTGGGACAGTGCTGGTTTACGTCTCTTGCCCTGCCAGTGATTATTTATAGTGACTACATTCTCTCTTAAAGGTGTCCCATTTTGGACGGTAAATATAAGCTTACTCTACTAATTTTAATTTGAGGGGAAAACAGTGTTTTTTTTTCTCTTTAAAAGAAAAAAGCCACATAAGTACTTTGAGGATTAAACAGTTTTCAAAATAATAGATATGCAAACTTGATACTCGGTCAGAAAAGAATCTAGGTTTTAGTATATATTGATACAACGTTTTGATTTATCTGAATTCTTCCATAGCCATGTTATTCTTTTAATTTCATAATTATTTTCTTGCATTCTTTTAACAGAAGGCAGACAGTAACAAGCACTCCTTGCTGGATTGAACTTCATCTGAATGGACCTCTACAGTGGTTGGACAAAGTATTAACTCAGATGGGATCCCCTTCAGTGCGTTGCTCAAGCATGTCATAAAGCTTTGTCACCAGTCAAGTCCCATCAAAAGACTTAATGTACCAACTCTTCTGTCATAGTATTTGTGTGTGGTCCCCGTGGACTGTTTACTATCCAAAAATTCAAGAGAAACAGCACTTGAGGTCTCATCAATTAAAGCACCTTGTGGAATCGGTTTCCTATGTTTGAATATTAGATGGGAAAATTAGTGTCTAGAAATACCCTCCCATAAAGGAGGAAGAGAAGATTTTAAAGACTTACTGATGTCTTGCTGGGCATAAAACTGAGTGTCCCAAAGGTTTATTAATAACAGTAGTAGTTATGTGTACAGGTAATGTATCGTGATCCAGTATCACAGTATTGTGCTGTTTATATACATTTTTAGTTTGCATAAATTAGGTGTGTGTGTGCTGCTTCTTGATTTAGGCAAGCCTTTATAAAGTTACAGTACCTAATCTGTTATTCCCACTTCTTTGTTATTTTTGTGTGTCTTTTTTAATATATAATATATATCAAGATTTTCAAATTATCATTTAGAAGCAGATTTCCCTTGTAGAAAAACTAATTTTTCTGCCTTTTACCAAAAATAAACTCTTGGGGGAAGAAAAGTGGATTAACTTTTGAAATCCTTGACCTTAATGTGTTCAGTGGGTCTTAAATATTCATTCTTTTTGTGTTTGTTTACTTACTGCTAAAACCTTATGGAAATTTTTCCAGACCTCTCCTCCATTTCCACTTTTGTCCTGATACCAAAACAGTGTAGCGTGACATCCATCACCAGTAACGGTTGCACTGATACCGCCAGCACCAGTTAATTCTGGGGTACGGTAACAAATCTTATGGAGCAAGTCCCTTTGTCTTACACCGGATCTCAGTTTCAGCAGATGATAATAGACTAGTGTAACCTAGCAGTCTTTTGATTCATCTTTACATCTCATTAAAAAATGCACAGGTGGCAGTATAATTATTTTCAGGGATATGCTACAATTATTTCAATATATTTATCCTTTTTAAAAATTCAGTCTATAGAGATAAACACTCTTTAAAAAGGTCTTTTAAAATATTTCAATAGCAAACCTAGTGCTCTTTGAGTTGAGTTTCATTTGATTTAGTTACCAGATTGTATTATGGAATGGACCTTTTGTAAATGTAATTGCTTCAGCAGAATACCTAGAAAAGTAATGCTGAGGTGTGATCAGCAGGTAAAGGCCATCTGTTTTTAAGGTATGTTGTATTAAATTTATACAATCTATGTTATTTTACATAATTATGAATTCTGAATTTTAAAATTTGGGGGAGAAGCAGTTTAGCAAGTTTTTTAGCTTATAATTACCTACACTCTGAGCTGTTCTTAACTAATCCTGAATATGTGGTGACTATTAGAACCAACCATGCATTTTGCTCTACAGTGATAGGAGATGTCGGAAACTCTGTTGGAAGTCCACCCTGCAGCAGATAATCCTTATGTTTATTGTTAACTCATTGCAGTTTAAACATTTCTTGTTTGCATCTCAGTAGAAATGGAAAGTAACCACTCCTGGTCCCCTTCTAGTAAGTTTTCATATTTTTAAAGACAGATTATCTTTGGTACTTGTTTTTTGAAACCATATTCACCTTTATCTACAGGTGTTATTTTCAATACTTTCAGCATTGGTTGTTTTCTATTAGATATTCCCCATTTTTCTATATTTGTGTATGCATGTATGTGTTTATGTAAACTTGGTATAGTAATTTTTTATTCATGCAACAAATATTTATTGTTCACCTGTTATGTGTGCCAGGAACTTTCTTAGCCTTTGGGTAAAGGTGAACAAGACAGATAAGGCCCTTGCCTTTGCTGAGATAGCAGTTTCTATAATGCTTAATTAGCTTATTTGTCTATGAAGGAGATAAAACAGGGTACTGTGATAAAGCATAGCAGGGGGAATGCTTCTGAAAGGTAGTGATGCTTGAGCTAACACTTCGGTGAGAAAGGAGCAAGCCTTGTGGAGAGAAAAATAGGCATTCTTGGCAAAGAAAGTGGCATCAAATGCAAAGGCTTATTTTAAAGGAAACTCATGATTTACTAGGTGTTTATGCTTTATACAAAAACCTCTACACAGGTCCAAACTTGAGGATCAGATTGGTTCTACAGTTTATAATAGTTGAAGGTGGCCTTACTTTGTGATAGATTGCTTCATGTGTCATTCTCACTAATATTTCCTCTTCCTCAAATCCTTCCTGTAAAAAGTTTACACCAGGTCAATACCATTTAATTGAACAACCCTTTCTTCAGTTCTGCCTTGGGCAGATTTTCACCATTGTGACTGGCTGCTTGCTTCCAGATGTCCTGCTGCCCGAAATGATTACTTCTGCAGCCCATCCTGTGGATAGAGTAAATGTCCCAGGTATTACCACAGTCAGACCTGTTGGAAATGTGGAGGCTCTGCCCTTTGGAAGTGTTTGCTTACTAGAGGACTTGTAGTGATGTTAGGGAACACTGTTCTTTGTCTGGTTGAAAGTGATAGAACATCCTGGCAGTTGCTCTTGCATTGATATGTTAAGCAAAGCAGTGCCATCTGTAGCATTTCAGTAGTGGATCACATCTCTACAGTTCTGGTGGCATTCTTCTGTACAGTATGAAACTGGGACTCACCTCTTTGGAAGCACCCAAGTATTCAGCGGTTAGACCTGTCAAGCCGTTGACTTTGTGGTGGTGGTGGTTACATTTGTATGAGTGTGTTCAGTGGTCTTCCTTGCTTTTTAATGCGATGCTGGTTTTGCATTCTGTTTTGGCCACTGTGGCCTAATTTTTGCCGATTGTTTTTTCCCTTTATAGGGTTTGTTTTCATTCTTCTAAGTGATAAGATCTCCTCTCTGTAGAATTTTGTCTTTATTTAGATTAGCAACATCATTTAGAATTTCTTCTACACAGTGCTGGTAATTTCCTCAGTTTAACAACATGAGAACTGAATGATCATGCTTTCTGTCACATTTCTAAGATGAATGGTGGTTTTCACAGTGGATTACATACACCTTAGGGCTGGTTTAGGGAATTGGAGGCTGGTGACATTCCCACTGACTTTGGCCTGGCCAGTGGCAGCTTCATTTTTATTCTGTGTTGGAGTTCCACGTAGGAACTCCAATAGAATGATTTCTTTATTTAAAAAGTTTTACTGCTTAAAAAAAGTTTGACTTTCCTGACTAGATTTGAACTATACCAGTTAGTGTGCTAATTGTACATTATGATATACATTCGTTCAATAAACATTTATTGATGCCTGTTCTTTACCTACCCAGTGTGATAGATGTTGAGTAATAAAAAGATAACTGGGATTTGGTACTGACTCTCAAGCCATCTTAGTCGTGTGGGGTTACTTTCTCTCTCAGGACCTGTCACTTTGCCAGAAGAAAACCTGCCTAATTTTTCTTGAAAGCTATATATTCTTACTCTGTATTCGTACTCTTATTCTGTATTCTAAGTATATATTTGCAAATTGTTAATATCTGGGGTTTTTTTAAACCTCACATCATATCTAGTTTTGCTTGGTTCATCTGTCCTTTAAACATTGCCAGATATTCTCCTTTGTTAAAATTATTTTATTGATAATTTCACTTTATTTGTGCCTTTATTGTCAGTTTCATCAAGACTAAGATTTTGAACTTGAAAAACAATCAGTCTAGTCTCTTGCTAGTTGAAATCAAATAAAAGAGTATATATACCCAGTTGGTTTCTCTACCTCTTCCAAAAATTGTCCAAATATACCTTTAACATCTTTCTTTTTTTTAAATAACTAAATACTTTGAGCATTTACTCAATAATCAGTGCCCTCCTGGTCTGGTTGATGGTGGGAAGTAATGTAACGCAAGACAATCCTCACTGTACTTAGCATCTGTCTTTATGTACAGTCTTTACTTTCATAGCTGAACATTCCAGCTTCACAGTTTGCCACCCCTCCACCATTCCCCAGTATCTCTTTAGATAACTAAGTAGACTGTGGACATAAGCAACCCGTGATCTTGTCTCTTACTCTGGTGCAACACATTGAGGTTTAGACATAACACATTATTGCCCATTTTCTTTCCTTCGTGAACTTTATTTTGCTGAGTCCTTTATATTCATCAACTGAATTTTATTCTTCCTTCCCTTCTCTTGACAACACGTATCCCTAGTGGTTTTGCTAGTTGCCCTCTTCCTTGCCAACCGTGTTGTATCTGCATACATCGGAATGTTTCTCTCCTTTGAACTTTACTAAAGACCAAAAAGGATGGTGCTGTTCAATCCCAGGGTCCAAATTCCTTCACCACGAAGGTTGACATTGTTGAGATTGGTCAGTCACTTAAATCTTACAAATGGCTCAGAAATTCTATCCAGTTAAACGTTTTTGTGATGATAGCGTACATCGTCAGATTCTGTTGTAAATTATGTTCAGGATTATGGACTTTTCTGGTAGTTGCAGCCAATGATTTCCTCATAATACTAGCCCTGTTTCCACCTTGGGGCATATTGGGTTGTTGTATTTACTACAATCAAGAGTAATAATGTTAGTGTGTGGTGTCTAGAGGTTGTCAGAGTCCTATTGAATTCCTTTTATATCTTCCTTTTCAAGTTTTCATAAATATTTTGTCTGTTCAAGACTACCTTTTGTGTGTGGGGATTGAGGGACAAATTATCTCTTGGAGTGGAATTCCTATGTTTGAAACCTCAACCAGGAAATGTGAGCTATACTAGATATAGATAGCCTCATGATAGCTTTTATGATGAGAACTTGTCTAATGTGTTCATATAATTTCTTGAGTAGGAACTGTTTTATCTTGGATATTATAGCTGACTTTATATATAGCATAACTGCCTTAAATCTTTTTAGTAGGAAATAAATTATATAATGTGTATGTATGGATTTATATATACACTCACAGAAAAATCTTAACAGTAGGGGTTATTTGCATACATTTTAACAGTGTTCAATGATTCTATTGTTTAAATCTCATATCAGTAAAAAAATTCTTAAGTTTCTTGCAGACATTTTCCTTTCATGGACAGACCATCAGGGTAAATTTTTTATTCTGCCAGGGTCCTAATTTGGCAGTTCAGTTAATATGCCATTTTTAGGCAGCTTGACAATTAAGAATCATAACTGGAACATCAAAAAAAAAAAGCTCTGAGTGGTCTCTGGAAGGTACTTGCTTAAGGTTACCTTTTTTTTTTTTTTTAAATAATGTTAGGTTGTGTGTCCGCCACACCTGCTCTTTCCCCCGGCTTAAGACTGCTGCTTAAGATACCCTGGGAAGCACCACTACCAAGTCAAGTTTTCCTGTATTGAAGGGTAGCCTCAAGATGACTTTCTTAGCTGTGCTCAACAGAAATGGATTTTCCAAAGTTCTTTGGGCCATTTCTGATTCACAGAGGATCTGACCAGAGTGTATTAGCCTGAGTTAACTTCAGTGTCAATTGGTTTGCTGCCATGAGATCCATAATAGACCCAAAATTTCACCATTGATTGAGATGTAAGGGCCCTTTGAAAGAATAGTACCACTGATGTTAGGACTGAAGTGAGGATTCATTAACTCCACACAAAGGACTTTTAGATGTTTCTCCAACCAAATTTCCCCCCAAATTATATTCTTCTACCC